AGGCACAATAAACCAGTGATTTAGATGAAGAAGGTTTTTGCTGGAGAAATAGATCAATAGATTTTAATGGAAAAAGTCACTGATTTTTACTCCAGAGTAAACACTGATGATGTGACTGGAAACTGGATAGTTCCAAGGTTTAATTCTCAAGCATCTGACATGCTCACGTGCAAGATATTATTCATCTTTGCTCTGACAAGGATCTTCCTTTCTCCATTTCCCCCATATCTCATAGGAATCAAGTTTGGCTAGCAGGCATCTATGTAACTTGCATTTCATACTTATCTTGCTGCAAAGCAAGACCCAGCTTTAGTTCCAGTGGCCAATGAATAAAATGTGTTTATCGGCGCCTTAAGGAAAGAATAAAGACCCTGGAGAAGTCATGGTGGTGGAGACTTTGTGTGGTAATTAGGGGCATTCCCACTTTTTCCACTTTTCTTTACATAGGTAATGGAAGCTTCTGAGTTATCAAAAAAGAAGAAAACTAAACAGAGGATGCCTATGTCTTTATCTTTGCACAACTCTCTGCTCAGTCCTCTTGCAGTTTATCTTGCCAGCTCTTCAAGGGTGCAGAGCTCCTACCACCTTCCTCTCTGCACTGATTTGGGGGATTTTCTGGGTTCATTTTTAAGTCACATCACCTGGAGGTGTGCACTGCCCATGTTATGCCAGAAAATTGTGAATCTGTAAGTGCTCTTGTCCAGGCAGCAATGTTCTTTGCAGCTACTTTAAAAAATAAAACAGCAAGAACACAGGCAAAGTGTAAGTGATCTCAGCTGTCTGCGCTGGGCCTGGATTGTGCTTCTGCACAGCCATGTTTGGTGCACATGAGGCTTCGCTGAGCCCCAGACTCTTCCGTGCAAATCCCACAGTCTCCAATAAGACAATCACTCACTTTGGGATCACCTCTTTGACACAGCAAGTCTATGTGCTGGAGGGAGGACATCTGTATGTCCCCACAGACGTGGTACCACACATCCTTCCTGCAACATTTCAATGGGACCAGAACAGTCTCTAACATAGATTTTTATTTTTTTTCCCCTATAAAAACTAAAGGCTTTGAATTCAAAAGGTCATTGTTGGGATGCTTAGTCAGGAGCAAAAGATCTGAGCAGCTCAGTTTGCACTTGTGCTCTGAAATGAGCATTTCTAGTACAAATGATAAGGCTTTAATTGCAATTCCCTGCAAATGAGTTTTGCTGATTCTTTTCACCCCACAGCTAAGGGACCTCTGAGGTTCCAGAATTTTATGTTTTAGGATGCTTGTTTTAACTGCTCACTCATAGAGCACAAGCCTGATTAGAAAGAAAAACATTATAATCTAATATACATATTTTTTTAATTGATTCAGATGGCTGAAAGAGAGTTTATGTATGGGAAGAACCAACATAAATAGTTTTTTATGCGCAGAGATAGTTGGTAGGGATTTTGTTTTCACTGTGTTGCGGTTGAATATTTTGTATCAGGCTGCCTAAATGGATGTAATCTCAAGATTATAGTTCTCTATGGAGACATTGAGGTCACTTTGCAGCTGTCCAGCTTTCCACACTTTAGGTGACAAGAAGGACATGCATGGGAATGACATTCCTGTGCTTATTTCAGTACAGGAGGGACCTTTCCAGAAAAGGAGGAGGTGCCAGTTTGCAAGGGCTGGGATGAATGAGAAAGACCAAAACACACACATGCATTTCCACAACATCTGATAGCCATGCCTGGGATTAATATATATTCATTATGAATTTACTTTTCTTGTGAATATATCACTTTGTTGTGCTTGGATTCGTTAGAACGGTGAGTTACTTCTTCTAAAACAACATTGCTAAGCTGTGGATAGGAGAGCTAGAACAGATAGCAAATTTTTAGCTCAAAAATTTGTCCCTGGTAAAAACAACTTTAGCAAGTTAAACTGCATGTGGAAGGAACATCAGGACCTCAAGTTTGTAATGCATTTTTTGTAATGCATAATTATTTCTGCATCTTAGAAACTTTACAGTATCCCAAAGTTGTCTTTAGGAAAACAGGCAAATAAACTAAACAACAGAATAAATAAATTTTAAACATGAAATGAAAATCAGTGTAGAGTTTGGATCATGATTTCCAGTAAAACATGCAGACAACATGGAAGTTCAATCATGCAGGCAGAAGTTAATGGGAAATTAACTCTCTTAGTCCCACAGATCAGACTAAAACTTATAGAGTAATTTTAAATCCCTAGCCCCCCTGACCACTCAGGTTCTTTTTCTTTGCTTGTGTGTCATGACATACATGTGAGAAGCCATTAGGGAAGATGTAAGCCTCAGAATCACTGATTTTAGGTTTGCTTTCACATGGACCAAAATAGCTGAATATCAGAAAAAAGTTCTGTGGAAGAAAAATGATACCTGATATGGATTAAATGTGTTATTCATTGTGATCCTTTACAACAAAATTATAAATAAATAAATAAATAAATAAAGCAGTCAGTACTGTTTCCTCCCTTACATGCATCTTTATGTGGTACGTGTAATATTCATATAATTTCCTCTGTTAATGTGTATTTTCACATATTACAGTGTTAAAATACATGTGTTTGTGTAGTAAGGTAAATCAAAATGTTAACTGCATGGTTTAGTCTATACAAAGAATGTCTTTAATTTATGCAGAATTTCAGACTGTGCAAACTGCATGGTTTTCTCTGGTTTTACATTGATGGGACTACTTACTTTTGATCTGTATCTTTGGAGTGAAGCGTTCAGAATTTTATCCTTATGACTCTGAAATTTGTGAAAGTGGAATTGCTGGAAAATTAAAATCCTTATTGTTTGAATGTAACAATCCAAACCAAGGCAACTCTGTCACAATCTCATTCTAGAGGCAAGCAGTACTTCTTTTCTCCCAGGGAACTGAGACAGAAAAAAAGTGTTTGCAGGAGATCAGAATTCCACTTGCAAGTTCTCAAAGGAATGGCCCTTAAGATGGTGTATTCCTACTGAATTGTGGAGAAGAGCTCCATAGAAAGCTATTAAACACAGTGGTTAGAATGCAACCTCTTACCTAGCAAGTCTGTAAACCAAGAATGAGAAGGCAGTGAAAGGTAGGTTTGTTCTGTGCGTGACCTATTACACTCCTCACTAAGCATCTACTGTTGTCTGCTTCCAGATGAATCTTGTAGTAGATGGATCTTGGATTTGACCCATTACCATCTTCTCTGTGTTCTGCTGTGATCTATGAAAAGCATGATTAGAATTGATGCACTCTTGTTACTTAACAATTCTTGAAATGGGAGGGCTGTCAGTAACTTTCAGAGCAAAATTTTTACAGAAACCTTTTAAGTTTTGTTCAGTTTTGGAAGAAAATTAGTCCCCAGGTCAGCCTGTGAGGTCAACTCAATCACTCAGCACTTCAATGCAGATAGCCTTCCAGAAGGCTTTGTGAAAAGCTGGCTATTTGTTCATGTTTCACACCTCTTTAATTACCCACCTGTGTTCCTTTTATTATCAGAGCTTGAATAGGATCTCTCATAAAACTTAGGAGGCTGAAAGGAAATTGCTGATTTTCTTGGATTGCATCAGCAATGCAAAATGGAATCACTTAATATTTGAACACCCTGCCCCTTTCATTTTCCTTTTCCTGTGTTCCTTCCATGCCACTGTGGATCCTTCCCATCCAACAGCTATGATGTGCTGAACAGCAAGTGTCTATTATGGAGAGGAAGCCACATTTTCACTCTGTTGTATACCATTTTTACCAGTCTAAAATCTAGATTTCAATCTAGTGAATTACAGAAAAACAGTGTCCGACCTCCTCAGCTATGAAGGAATGCTCACATATTCATTTCCAGCTAGGCTGCTCTGTGAGGAACATTTGAATTAATTTTTTATAATGATATTGCCCTTCTTCCCACTAGAATGGTGCTAACATTCCCATTCCTGATAGCGATAGGTCGTAACTTCTGCATTTCTTTTAAGTAGAAGAAAAGAGGCTGTTTCTGTGCGTGATGTAGGGAGACACAAGACACTTAAAAAACTTTTAACATTTTTCTCAGTCCATGCCTCCGCCAAAGAGAGTTCATCAGGAAGAGCAGCATGATCTCACCATCTCTGTCTATGACAGGGCATCAACAGTTATCTCTAGGGTATAGTAGCTGTTAATGAATCTGGCTCCGGTTATTAAATCAGGGTCAGTTCAATGCCAAGTAGTTTCTCTTGTGATGGCTTCTCCAGCAATGAGCCTTTGAAGAAATTTCCCCCAGAGGGTCAGGAAACAGATCAAGTTTTTCTTTTTCTTGAAATAAAACAAACAAAAATACACTCACAATTTACTGGCATAGTGATGAGCGTGGTACCTGTCTGTGGCAGTGACTGTACAGTTTTGCCTGCTTTGTTCTTTGTTCCTTTCTTGCTCAGGCCATTGTGTCCCATGGTAAATGAGGGATTGCAGAGGTGGAGATTGAAGGGGAGGACACAACAGTGGACCTTGCTGTGCCTTTGTTTGGAAGAAAACAGTCCTTTGGAGTTCATTAGGCACTTGGCCTGAGGTGAAAACCTGGTGGAGACAAGTTTGTTGCATGAACAAGTGTGAGCAGGCCATGAGAAAAGGTTACAGGGAGCTGCTAGCATTTACCTCTCAACACATTTTTAGAACTCCTGCTCCATCTTCACTGTCTTTGTCACGTCACCTTGCAAATATTGGCAAACTCGGAAATATATATGCTTCTTTCCCCAGTGAAGAGAAAAACAACAACACAGCGGCTTTGAGAAAACACTTGTGTAACAGAAATCCTTGTAATTCCATCCTTTGTTATTACTCTTGCTATTAGATTGAACCAATGCTCATCCCTCTCAAATGAGGGCAGCCCAAAACCACTTGAGCTGCACCCTAAGAGAATAATGGCAACTGTTTCCCAGTGCAGTGACACAAGTGCCAAACTACAGTTAAGTGGCAGCAGGTCCAGAAGACTGTACTTATAGGTATAGAAGAAAAAAAGGGCATAAGTCATAGTCCTGGCTTTGGCAGACTGCAAAGGACAAGGCTCTGGGAATGGAGGGTGGAGATAGGATTCTGGATCTGTACAAGTTTTGGCAGGTTTGTGTCAATTTATCCACTAAGGATAAAGGAAGAAAATCACAAAAAGGACATGCAGCAACAGGGAAAAACTGTTCTCTCTTCAAGAGTCTCTCTGTGCTATTCTTCCTGTCCATTTTAAACTTCCCACTTTCATGAAATAAAAGTGATGGAAGCAGATAAGGAGTGAATTCAATTAAGGTTGATTCTTCCCCTTAAAGAGGAATCCAGGAAGCTCTCTGCTGTCTTGTTTCTCTCTTTGAAGTGCCTTATCATCCTACTCTCATTAAAGTATAATGGACTAGCAGTGGGTGTGCTGGGATTTGACACCCAGTGGGGAGCTGCACCTAATCCTACACGATCACCTGATCCAGTTTGGCTTATTTTCACAAGTCACTGACTCCATCTTCACCATTCTAAGTGGGGCAGGACCAGAGAATTATTATGAAGGACTTAGCCCTAATTGACTGGCCTCTGCATAGGTGTCACAGGAGACAGCTCCAAACACGGACACATAAACAAATGCAAGTCTGTCTACAGACTCTCCATGAGAGGGGGAAGAGGGGGTTTTATCAGGTGCCTGGGCCTGTTTAATCACTCAGTGCTCTGGATGCTGTCTTTATCTTTCCAAGTCAGTGGATAGCATTGACTCACCAGTCACTTAGGGGGCTGGGAGCAGCTTTTGGGGCACAGCGACAAACAAACAAGGATGGGAGCCAGGAAGACAGAAGATATCTGCTCTGACACCACAGGCCTTTATCTCTGTCACTTGGCTGCATACTTGGAGATGAATGGCTTTTAGGAACGAATGGGTCTTCATCAGGAATTGGATAGTTGTTCTTGCCTCCAGAAAAATTCCTGCTTCCCCAGCAGAGCATCTCAAATTAGATAGTCTGGTTATTCTTCTATCTGAACAATAAACAACATCTGAGGAACAATCCACCTTTGAGTTTTAGCCTTCTTTTTATCCAGAGAAAGACATGAACAAAGGTTGTCATACCATGGTCAGATGCACTCTGTGCATGTTTTCTCTGACATGGCACAAATAATAATATCATATTGTTCACAAGGGCAGTCCTATAAGTGCCTCCTAGAGACAGATACTCCTTCTCTTTACCTCTTATGTGGAGGACAATGTGCTTTACTGCCTCATCTAGGAGTATAAATCTCAGATTTTACAGAAGATAACCCGCATGAACATATTTCACTGTTTCTGACCCGCTGGCTTCCTTATTATATCATCCAAATGTTGTTCTGGTGGTTGCAAAAGGCTCACGTTGAACTAGGGCTGAGGTTCACTCAGCACAGCCTCAGTTTTATGATTATGAAAACAGCAACAGGCAGAAGGTTTCCAAGAGGAGCAGTCATGTGCATGCCTGTCTCATATGTGAGATAATCCGCAATGATTTTGGCTTCTGACAGTGGCTATCTGCAGTTACAGACATCAAAGTCCATAGAGAAATTGTACCTCAGTATGCAGGGACTGGTAAGTAACACCAACACCTCATGAAACTCAAAGGAAAATATTTGGATACTTCTGTTTTTGCAGGACTCTTCCTTTCAAAGTCAACCTGAGAAATCCAGAAGACAAGACGTGACGCTTATTTCATGCTGAATGATAAGACAGTCAAAAAGTGAATGGAGAAAAAAATTTCCTGCTGGTTCTAGCTAGCGTGATTGAGGTGCACAGGCCTTTTTGGCCAGCTGTAAGAAAGCTGCCTCTGGCTGCCCAGCAGGACTGACCTGCTATCTTTTGCAGCTCCATTAGCAGGGGACAGCTTCTCATAGCAACAAGAGCAAGAAGTAAGCTCCTATCTTCCAAGATATGGCGAGACATTGGGATAGCTCTTTCCCAGGAGTCTTTTGGCTCCATGTCTGGGTTTTACTGTCACTACTCACCTTATTGTCTGGAATACAACATTCCAAACTTCTCTTTACTTATTTTTAACAAAATCTGTGAGGAACTTATATCCAGGCATAGTAAATTAGGCATATCAGCAGCCAGAACTCAGCTGGAAAACAAGATCCAAACAGAATTTCTGATTGTCAGGTCATCTCTGTGATTTTATTTTATTTTTTTTAAATATCTTTTGGTGGTTTTAAGGAATTGCTTGCTATGGCAGGATACCTCTGTTGTTCATTGTTTTCTCCCTAAATAGATGACCAAAAGTTTCTAAATGGAAGACAGACTACAAGCAGCAAGGAAATTTCATAATAAGTTTCTACAATGTAGCCATTTATGACAGTGTTCAAAGCTTTCAGGAATATGAATCTTTGCACAAATGCTGGTGATTTCCCAGTACCTTCAGGATGAATAAGTTGATGAATAATAGGGAACTGAAATCAGCAAGGAAGTAAATCTGTTACTGACTCAAAACAGTCTTTTTTTTTTTTTTAAATCGAGTTCTGGTACAGCTACAGAGAAAACTTTGCTCTGTTTGGTTTTCTTTGGAGTCCCACGGAGGTTTCAAAGTAAGAGTGTAGATTCAGTTCTGGAGTTGTAAAGAAATAATTTGAATCAGTTTTCAGTTTGGGCTTCATTCAATGCTGTAAAGTGCATTCATACAGTGATTAAAGCTGTTCCAACAGCTCTGGCCATGAGGAAGCTAAGACAAACCCAGAGGACATGCAGATCTGGACAAGTACTCTTGCTATTTGTTTTTTTTTTTTCTGCTGATTGAACATTTGCACAGACCAAATCCTTACTGTCTTAGGGGAAGAAGAAGGTAGAAATTACCCTGGCCTGAAAGAAATCTTCCTGTCTATAGACACAAAGCTGGTACAAGATGAGAAAAAAGAAGCGGTATCTTCTTTCACAGGTTAGGAATGGAGACACAGAGAGGTGAAGTGCCTTTGCAAAGACAGCACAGGAAGGCTGTAGCAGAGCTGGGAAGTGCACCCGAGCACCATGAGCCCCTCTCTGTAACCACAAGCTGTTTGTCCTTCCTGCCTCCCCATTCAGCTGGTATGGCACCTGGTCAGATCTCCATAAAAGAGCACAGTGATCCACGTGGCTGGAGGGGAGAACGGGGAGAAAGAAAACCCATTTATTTTTCTTTCTGCTACTCTATCTCACTTCAATGGGTGCAGTTGAAAACGTCAAGAATAAATGAAAACAACTGTTGGGCATCAATCCAAGTGGTTAACAAAGAACCCTGAGCTCTTTTAAGTCCTAAAACTAAAAGGTGCTGGCATAAAAGGAATAGCATTTTTCTCCACAGAAATCATTTGTTGAACTCTCTAGTTCTGAAGAGGACTCCTTTCTTTCTCCCTGTTCACTTCACTCACACTTTTCAAACAAACCACTCAGTAAAAGTACAATTAAAGAGTTGCGTTGTATTAGATGCGTCCTGACAAGCACAGTCTTGTCATCCATGTGACATTAATCTGAGGTCCTGCCATAAATGACAGTCATTAGAAACCCAGTCTAAGGGCCCCACTCCCATAATCATGTTCTTCTGGATTTGAGATCAAGTGCCAAGGCAGGTAGCTATTTTCATCTTTGTCTGGACAGAGGATTTCCTGTTCTTGGTGAGTCAGTGGTGTGTCCAAAAGCACCTGTCTATCCTGATGGGTCAAAATGTACCAGTACCAGGCTGGGGAGATGGGTGGGTTTGGTCTGAAGCTTTTCCCAGTTAGCGAGGTGAAAATGGTTTGGAAAATTAAATAAAGAACCTGAGGGAAAAGTTTTGACTTTGAAAGGGAATCACCAATGCAATAAAGCAGAACAGACAACCAGAATACATTTAGTAACTTGTTAAAGATGCTGACCTGCGTAACTTGGGCTGTGGAAGAGGCTGAGAGGGGCTGTACTTTCTTTCATACTGAAAACATTTGGTGCCAGGGTAGAAACATGCAAGGAAAATATGGCCCTGGGGCTTTGCTGCCTGCAGCGATTGAATGAATTCTGTCTTCATCTGCTTGGAGAGGCTGAAGTTTTGTGTCTTTCACCTACTCTGTGGTTAGTACAGGTGAGGCAGGAACATAGCTGTAATATTTGTGTGGACCAAACCCTCTCATTATAAAAATTTGTTTTTACCTGTTTATAATGTAGTTGAAATTTGGGTTGAAAACTAACAACTTGGCCAGCAATGACATTATTGCTTTAGAAGAAAACTGAAATTTCACGGAGGAGAAAATACATTATTATGCTCATGTAAATAACACAGATACTCATTTAAAAATAAATGTGAAAAGTATAAGTTTGAGGGCAGTTGTTTGACACAGTACAGCCTTTAAAAACCTCTGCCATCTCCTCCCTTCCTCAAGCTTCCCTCTTTTAATTATAACATAGTGAAACAAATAGTTAATTTGGTGATCCCAATTTATGGAGATGCTAGTGTCAAAAAGCAAGCACTAAGAAAAGTACAGTCAAAACCCAGCCTGCAGTTCTGGAAAAGGCAGAGCATGCTAGCAGGTTGTGATTTGGCTCTTTCAACCAGTCTCTCATAAGTTATTTAGATCAGTACTGACTTTGCAAAGCTAGACTTTATAGAAGTCCTAATCTTTCACACTTCTACCTGTGGTGAAGGTAGTCTGAGCAACAGGTAATCTATCAAAATGCATTATCAGCTGAGAACTCAAACCACAAGTTTCTTGTATTCCTTAGACATAAGAGAAACATAAAACAGCAGTGACACCAGTCAAACCAACTGCTCACCAGTAAGCTGTGAAAATAAACTTATTATCAACATCATTTATTAAACACTTGGATTCTTTTGTGATAAATGATATAGAGGAGGCCATAAGGAAATGGGTTAATTCCAACTTCAGAACAAAGTTTGAGTGGTGTGCTGAAAAGAGATGACCTTGGACCATGTGTAATAATAATATTAGATGTTAAAGTAAAATATTCAGCATCTGCTTATTAAACTAGCACTCCTTGTAGGCCGTTAAATGAGGAAAGGTTGCTACCAAAACATTGTGAAAATAAATAAATAAGGTCATCTTTCAGCCTTAGCAATTCAGTAACTGCAAGACTATTCTTTTTCAAAGTTTCTGGTCTGAAAGGTGTCTAAGCAGAGACTATCCATTGACATCAGAAAATGAAGAAAGTGAAGAAACAGGCCCAAATGAGGATTTATATGACAATAGCATCAGGGTAGTAAACAGCACCCATTGAGTGACATCGCTCCCTGCTCTCTTCTGTATTCAAACCTAAAAAAATATCATCTGTTCATGGGGCTGGGCAGTTCTTTTCACACTGCTGTGTAAGAGGAAGAGGAAAAATAAGAAGCAAAATCAGATGGCCTGATTTCCCCTTATGATTTCTAAGCCAGAAAAAAAATGCACCAAAATTAACTGAAATCAGGAAAGCAGTGAGCAAGATCAGAATGTGTCTAATCACTTATTTAGAATTCCCCAAGGATGACAGAAGGGAAAAGCTGGGGACATGCTGAAACGTTGCCCCAGGCACGTTCAGCAGTTATTAAAAAGAATTCACTTCCATGTAAGTTGTATTTCATCAGCTAATTAAGAAGGCATTTATCCTCTGCTTTAATTAATATCTTGTATCTTCCTTCCGAAATACTTCATCGTTGAATGAAATCATCATAGAAATATTGCCCTGAAGTTAGCATAGGCATTTTATATCTCAGAAAAACTCACGTGTGTGTGTGTGTGCACACGGGAGAGAGAGAGAGAGAGAGAGTATATTTTAATAGCAGTAATTATAAACTACTCTGCCAACTTATAGGGCTGCTTTGCATTTCTGGCTTGCTGCCAGGCTTCCCCCCCCAGAGCCTGATGAATAGCAACTGTTGTGTACGCAAGATCTGTGCTCCATTTAAGCAATATCCCCAAAGAAATCGGTCTGCCTAGCCGTTAAGCACAACTTTGTTAGGCAGTGCCTGGGGCAATTGACAAAACCCATTTGCTAACTAAAAACTGTAACCAGTGGTTTGTCTATCCACGGTGCATACTTTCAGTAAGGCCGCATTATAATAGATGGAAAATCAGTTATTTCCTGAGCATCAACAACCAATTTTCCACCAGTTAGACTGGAGATGCATATCCCTGAGGTATGTAGAAAACAGAATTAACTGGTATCAGCTTAAGCATGGGAAACTAGCAAAACACATGGTAGATTTTCTAAACAAACTAAGTCAGCCAAGCTGGAACATTGCTATTGGCACTTGCCATTTATCTTGCTGTGCCATTAAGTTTTCATTAAAGTGCAAGAAATTTCCTGAGAGAAGGTGCAATCTCCCTCAGTCCAGATTGGTCACGGCCCTAAGAGAGGTGTTACAACAACAAGAAGTTACAGGCATCGTATAAGCATGACCGAAATCTTTGCCACATGAGAGATGGCTCTCAGGATAATAGTCCAGATTGGTCTTTAAATTTAATCTATGAATTTATGAGATGAACCTTCACTTCCTTAAAGAAGCCTTATTCTTGCTATTGAATCAATAGGCAGTGTTCAGTCCAGAGGAGCACCACACATGTAAACACTGTATTCCCATTCGCTTCAGAGACATTCCTCACCCAGAATATTCAGTGCAGCTAATCTGTTAATGTAAATAAAAACAAACACCAACAGGATGTAGCTTATCAGTTATTTCTGAAATATTCTTATCTCTTGTAGAGCTTCTCACCGGGAAATTATGTGAAGGCTTTCCCCCCCACCCCCTATTTCTTTCTTGCAACTATGTATCTGGAATGCCCTGAAATGGGTAAACTGCAAACCAATCACCACAAACATAATTGGAATAATTCACTCACTTCAGTAGTCTTGGGCATTTGAAGTTCCCCTTTTCAGTCCCAGATGCAAGTCATTACACGTGTCATCAGCCAAAGGCACAGAGAGGTCACAGGATGCTGATTTCAAACCTTTAAGCATGTGTGAGGTAAATCTTACTGCCTAAACAAGTATTTTTTTATTTCTCTTAACATGATAGACTACTAGAGCATTATTAAGTCAACCCTTTGTTAAAGAACATGACAAATCCCAAAGTAAAAGAGGGATGCCGTTGGACTGACTGGTCCTTGGATCCTGCAGTTCTAAACAGAATGATTTCAATTGCTTGTGACATTTTTCAGATTTGTAGACAGGCATGAGCTAGGACTGTAAGTTACAACATATCTATGGAAGTTTTAGCTTTGCAAGCCTAGGAAGTCATTTTAAAGGCTGTGTTAGCCTTTACGAGTCTCTGTGGATTCCTGCACAAATCTATAGCTGCAGAGACATCCACAGCTCTTTAATGAAGGCCTGGGAGTTCAGGCAGGACAGAAGGAACTCCAACACAATTTCTGTTCCTGAAGGTGTCACTGACTGTGGCTGTGCCACTAAAGTTTGCCAGGCTCTAGTTTTCCTTATAAAATTGGCATGGTGATGTCTTCAGTCTTTTAATGTTTTGTGAAGACTTATAGAAGAGGTTGGCTAAAATGACTTCCTTGGGAAGCACAAAGAAGTGTTTCGGATCAACGCTGAATTACAGGACTCCCTGCATCCACACCTTTGTCAATCCCCTAAGCTTGTTAGTGAAGAGGGCACCACTAGGGGCTCAAAGTCCTGCTGGAGCTGGTGTAAAGCCTGATACAAGGAAACTTAGTGGCCCCTTCTCTGTCCTTGCCTCTGCCTTCTGCTTTTTCTACCTCCCCTCCTGTACTCAAGCCATGCTGTCCTCTGTGCAACAAGGACCAGGTCTTCTACACTGATCAAATACTTAAGAAATCCAGACCTCTAATCATATGCCTATTAATATTGTTTCCAGTCAACACAATCAAGTTCCCTTTATTTTTTCTGAATGTAGGACTTAGTATTTATTACATGGCAACAGTTTGAGCCTCCAGAAATTCAACTCTTCAGGCAGATGGGAACTGCCCCAAAATTTTTATCTTCCAAACTTAAGAAAATAATTATAAGACCAATTATGAGAATACTTGGGATTAGTTCTGGGAACAGATCTATTCACAGGTCACTAGGATAAGCCCATCAGCCCTCAGTCCTGAAACAGTAGAGCACTTCTAAACAAATCAAGAAAGTCTTGAAAATATCAGGAGTCTTTCTAGATTTGTTTCAGTTCTTATATTATCTCACCTTCACCCACTCAGCCCTCTCATTAAGCAGTGCAGGGAATTTTAGTAGGAACTTAGGATGTGATAGACCTTGATTTTTTTGCTTTTATTTTTATAATAAAAAGAAGGACATGGCAGTACCAAGGATGAAAAGATACGGACATTCTTCCAAGTGATTAGAAGGTTCAAAGATGAATATATGCGCATACACACAACATATCTGCAAACCAGGCTGTGATTTACTGCTAGACTTAGAAATGCTTTAAAGACTTCTAAGCACAGGAAGAAATATGCTGTTAGTAAAGCTTCTGTGTTATCAGCCCAGCTAAATAATGATGTGCAATGTGTCACGTGTAAAGAATATATTAATACTTGGATAAATATTTTCCTAACGTCTGTTTAGTTGATATCTCCTTGGCGTATAACCCATGGATAGTAAATAACACTCACATTTCTGTTTACTTAGGGTCTATTTTTTCCTCTTGTCTTTCACATTGGCAATAGTTTTGGGGCTAATGGGGAAGAAAAGGGAGAGGGAACTGGAGTTCTAAAAAAATGTTTGTTTTCCTTACAGATTTCATGAGAAATAAACTGTTTATGTTTTAGTGTTTCACTGCCATGGAAATGTTAGATGATTGTGTGACTGTCAAAGTGTTTAATGCATAGCCAAGCAGTAGCATTATGAAGAGCGGGAGGGGAAGAAAATGAGAAACTGTAGAAACAATGAAAAAAACAAATGAGTCCGCTTTACCTTGGGGCTCCTAACACGTTATTTTTCCTTGCTTGTGGGCATGACTTAATGTTGGTTACTTCCTTTGGCTTCAATCCGCATTCATTTTAATCATCTGTTTTGACAGTCTCTTCTCCCCTCAGGCTCGTCTCTAATTGAATTTGTCATACAATCCTCACCTCCCCTAAAATTGTTTGTAAGGGAGGGAGGCTGGGAGACAGCTGGACCTGGGTTGGTTTCTGAAGTGTTAGCTCCAGTAATCTGCCCATTCCAGCCTTCCTTTTGCAGCTGAGATGATTGACATTTAGTCCCATTTCCCACAAAAGTAGGAAAATCTGGCTGCCATGCTACCAGACTTCATCTAGGACCTTTATATAGGACTTGGTGGACATCCAGTTCAGATCACTACCAGCTCCTTTCCCCTTACCTCCCGCTGTCTTCTATATCATAGGGTAGGTACGCTCTTAAAGAGCTATTGATATGGAGAATTTCTCCTTGCAATCCCCCAAAATGCAATTTTCAGCTCAGTTTTGTCCTTTATGATCCCCTTGTATGTTGAGGGATGTCATCAGGCTGCACATAGTGTGCAAGCAGGGATGCAGATCTGAAATTCTATAGCATCACAGACCTCATGCCATCAGGTGTGCAAGTATGGCAGTACTTGATTTCCAGAGAAGCACCAGCTGCTATTTGTGATAGGGATCAAAATGGAATATAAAAATGATACTTAGTTTTTTCCTCACTCTAAATGTCTTTAAGCCTGTCAGTCTCAAATACTGTGCTTTTACTCTTAACAAAGGAAAGTTATGTTTTATAAAACAAAATCAGACAAAAGTACACCTAGCCTGAAGGCAAGTTCTCATGCATACACGCATTTCCTGTATATAGGATATCACTACTTTTTCACTGTAGTTCCACAACAGCAAGGTGAAATGCTTTTTTGCACTTAATGCAAGGCTCACTGGGTTTTTAATATTTATATTGCTGAATTCATCTCGGCAGTTCAAGTTGATAGCAGTAAGCATTGGAGGGATTAGCATAAGAACACTTATCTTGTTCCTCAGCATAAGTGGAACCATCACCCTGTCTTCATCTACTCAGAAGCGTAGTGTCAACATGTCCCTGCAACAAGAGTGTTCATAATGTCTAGATAACACGTGTCACACGTTTGACACATCTGTGTTATCTCATCTGGCTAAACACAAAGGTAAACAATGTCATGGAAACACACACGTGCTTCAGACAAAGTCTGGGATCAACTCAAATCTACGACTTTTATTTCTGACTACAGCATAAACAAAAATATTGCAAGTTTACATAGCCTATATTTTGTCTTTTAAAGACAACCTGTAGAAAAACTTATAAAATAAGAATTGTTAACACTTGGAAATCTAGCCATCAGAAACTTCAGGGTTTCCTACTGAGTGCCTAAGTACAAAGTACGTGCTTACTATTATTTTAATTAGATGCTAGTAAGAGAACATATTTTCCTTTCTAGAGACACACTGATTTTAAAGCACGCATCTAAAATTCATCATTTTATTCCATTGTTTTATATAGAGTGCTTGCTCCAAGCTACAAACCTTCCATCACACTGTGGCCCCACTCCCCACCCCCCACCCACTTCCAAGCCCAAAAAAGTCCTCTTTTTCTATTATAAAATTAGAGAGTAAGTACTCTCAACCCTTCAAGACACTGTTGCTTCTGTGATTCACCAATGAATCACAGAATTCAGCAATGGCTAAAGCGGTTACTTTTCCTATATCAATGCAGTAATAGTAGACAAGAAGTCAAACTGTATGCAACGTTACTATTGTAGAGTGGATAAGTATTTCCAGATAGCAGATTCTAATTTGAATTATCATAGTCTTTCTCTTACACGCAGATGTGAAAGCCTTGCAAACAAAGGATGTAATATCAGAGATGAAGTTAGGAAGTGAAGGTTAGTTTCCTCTTCTTCCATCTTAACCACCCAAGTGTAAGTTAATTTTGGCTGTGTTCAGTCTGAGCTTACAGAAGGGAGAACGTGAGAAAGTTTACTTCTTGTAAAAGCCCATTGCCAGATGAAATAGAAAGAAGAAACAAAAATTAGTAACAAATACTGAATTTGAATTAGAGAAGAAAAAAACCACCTAATATCCTCTCCAAATATTAGCTCTTACCCCCCTTTGCATCTTTATTTACTAACTCATTAGGAAATAACTTCTCAAATATAAACAGATAGATACAGTTCCTCCTCAGTTTGAAGTGATACGAGAAAAGTCTGTTAGAGTCCATTTGACATTTTCTTTTGTTGTATTTTGTTTTTAATTGACATTTTCCTCTTCCTTCACACAAATAATCTCAGTGAGACAGACAGACCCAAGTTCCTTAACAACAAGGAAACAAAAATTGCTTTTAGACTTATGTCCTAGTCCACAGCCTCAGAAATGACCCAGGTTCAACACATCAATGGCACACACTATAATGTGATGGAAGTACAACAACAGCAGGGTAGCAAGGCTCAAAGCTGCAGCAAGTAAGGGTTTGCTCAAACACAACAGCAATAGGCACAAAAATAAGAGAAAGGGACAGCTTACCTTCATAAAGCCTCAAGCACACAGGAATCCCCACAAAGATACTCTTGCCTCCATTGCCAACCCTTAAATGAGGTCTGGGAAAGGGTGGAGATCTTTAAGTCACTCAGGCACACTGCATGCACCTGAGCTCCCCTGGGTTGTCCCTACCTTCCCACCAGGTGTTCAATCACTGCTTCAAGCTGTGACTTAGCATTTCCACTACATACATTATCTTTTGCATGTTGGTGAGAGTCCTTTATATTTAGCATAAATAGTAGTGCATAGGCAGGAATATATGGCCTTAACCAAGATACAACACTGAAAGGCATGGCTAACTGGTATTATATGTACACCATGGTGCAAAAGAGCTAAAGCTTGTGGGGTCCCATAGTTGTAACTGGCAGGATATCTCACAGAAAGCTAGCCAGCCCTGCTTGGAAGGCCTTGTTCTCCTCATTCTCTTAGCCCATTTGAAGGAAACTCTGGGTGAGGTTTATGGACTTGTTTTTGCAGGAGGTCAAATAAGAGGCTTGTAAGTCCCAGTGGCCTTGAAATCCTGTAGAGCCAGGCTGGATCTGATTCCTATGGGTCTACTTACTGACTGTTCCACAAATGAAGTCCAGAATCTCCCAGCACGAACAGCAGATGTCTTTTACCTTATGTCTAGTTTGGATGAGAATATGAGTTCAGAGGCTTGCATTTACTACAGCCTCAAGCTCCAGCGCTTGGATACACCTTTTTCCAAGTGGAAATGAAGTGATTTCACCAGAGATCAGCTCTTCTCAGCGGGACGTGGAGAGGAGCATGTATCAGTACACTTAGTATCAGTACACTGAGTATCTGTCTGAATCCCAAACTGTGGGGTGTGATGAGGTGATTCTGTTCTAATTGTGTAATCAGTGCACAGTGATTCTTACCAGTTATTTCCAGTGTGATGAAATACCCACCACTAGCGATCAAAACCTATCACTTACTCACATTGTTTTTCTTGGAGATATGCATTTGCTTTGAGCTTTCATGTTTTTCAGCACATCCGTGTTGAGAATCATGCAGGATGCCTCTAGTCCCCCAAGACAACGAATCTAGTAACTCTGGCAAGTGATGCACCCCACAGAAGAGATCACAAATTGGGCACCAAACCAACAGAAAGAAACTGCATCCAAACTTTGTGTCTTTCCACTTTCAACCTTCATAACATATTAACCCAACAGGCCTAGGGACCCCAGCAGAGAACACGTAGCGAGGGGCCAAAAGTTTGCCTGTATCTCTCTTTTTGTCTCTGCTGTGAAGTGGGATGACAAGCTCTGATGGGAGAAGGGACAGGACAAAATGTGTCAGTGCTTCTGTTTCACAAGGAGGGACAAAAGTCACTGGTTAAAGCAAGTCAGCCATGTGGCTAAGTGACAAAGAGGGGCAAATCACTGAATTTGGGGTGAGGGTGTCAGTTGGAAAGGAGTGGGGCTATTTATGAAGGAAAGAGTGGACAGAAGGAGGATGGTTAGTATGGATCCTTAAGCTCCGGGTGTCTCCATGTTTAGTTGGTGAGAGTCAGGCAGTAAAGTTGTGTCTGGGTACAGATTCAAGCACAAACTACTGAGAAAATGAGGGGACTGGATATGGTCACAGTATTTTTAAATGCTTCTATTCTGGATCATCCCAGAGCAAACCTGCATAGTGACAATCTTATCAAATATGATATCTCCTTTCCTTTCCTGCATCACCACAGCTGATTAATGAAACATGCATAACCTCTCAGCTGTTTCTTCTTCCCTTCAGCTGCTGATATTCCGTGGTTCACAGCTCCTCTCAGACTATAGCTCTGTGGAGCACAGACAGCGGTCTTTCAGAGCACAGAGACTCACATGGCAGGCCTGGATTCAAACACAAGCCCTACCCTAATGCAAAAACACAGCAGTCCTAACTGAGCAGGAGCATGGTGCTGGCTCCTCTGATGCCTCTAATAACATGCATACTCTGAAGTTTTTTTCCACAGCTGGGGCACTTGAACTTCTCTCACGAGACAGGTGTTGTCTGAGATTGCACTGGAACTGTACTCCTAGGGAAGGCATTAAACATTTTCTGTTTTCTCCATCTGTCTTATTTTTGTGAGAGGTGGGAACATAATATGCTCAAGGCTTCTCCCATGCATCAAGTTTTGTTGAAATTGGCCCTGGTGTCCAGAAGTTGTAAGGGATGGAGTGGAGAAAGAGGAGAGACCATATTGATTCATTAAAATGAAGCTGCAAAATAATGCTAATTGTATCAAATTTGAGTTTCCATTAGCAAATTAAATCCATTCCCAGATGAGATACACCACAGATGAGATTCAGCCACAGCCCTGCTCTCTCTGAGAGCTTTATGAATATTGCTCTTTTAATTTCCCTTGCTGACAGGACCTCAAATGGCAAGGGCCTCAATTGCAGAAGACACTGTAAAAGCCCGTTGACAGGTGATTAACAGCTCCTGGATGCTGTGAGTCTGACCACACTTCTGACCATGGGAGCTGTTAAACAAATTAGCAACAGAGCAGTTTTGTGGTTAACTACCCTTTTTCTCTAAACAAGGCTATTAATGACATTCCCAGGCCTGGCACCCCTATACACTTGTGAGCCAGGCACTGAGACATAGTGTTTCTCTCATTTATCATATTCCTTTAAAACACAACAATAACAACAACAAGACAAAACTGGAGAGCAAAAATAATTGATATTTCAGAAGAAACAAGAGTCAGAATCCCAGAAGTTGGCTGAGGCCCTAAACATGAGCAGCAGTTGACCAAATGCTTCCCATTGCTTTTTGTCCTAAGCTCCTGTCCAAGGGGTGAAGGGACAGGAGGATTACACCATTGGCCAGGTGGGAGAAGAATCACCCTTCAGCACTGCAAAGTGTTGAATATATGGGAGAGGGAAGGAGGTGTCCACTTAACCTGCTCCAGGGTCATCATAGGCTTTGTAGAATTGTGTTTACAGGGAATTTCACAATAAGCATCTCAAGCCATATTTGATCACAAGTAAAAGTCACTGCTCTGGCAGGAAAAGGAGCCAGGGAAACATGAGGTAGCAAGATGCTCCAGAGCTGTCTCTGCCTGTTGCTTGAACTGTACTCAAAATCTGGCATGCTTTTATTGCTGAAGACTATTCAGTTTTGAAGCTGGAAGTCTTCTCCCAGCTGGTTGACTTGCAGCTGTACTGAAGGGTGTATCAATAAGATTCTCTTGCATGGTACTCCACACAGTGGCTGTGTCTGCCATTCCCCAAGCACCATAGGGATTTGTTCTTGCCCTGAAGCATGAGGAGAGCCCCTGTACTTGAAGACATCACTGAGGCTCCAAGTCTACCTTATAGCATTATGGAACAGACAACTGTCTACCTTGGAACACCTCCCTGCTGTATCAGACTCACTCAGAGTTGAAGGGATCTAAGGAGGTTTCATGACCTCGGATGGTTCCTGGGGACATCACCATTGTGATCTTGCAGAGTCCTGTCTCTGTGACAGATTCTCACGTGAGAAAGGAGGTGCTTAGGACAAATTGCAGTCTTTGCACTTTGTTTAGAGATCTTTGGATAAAACAGAACATATGAAGCCAGAGGACACAAAACATCCTTCAGACTTTAAACTTTTAGTTATGAATGTGCTGTGACATTTGGAAGATTCCTGTCACAGTGTGTTTTACAGAGCCACTCCTTAGGAAGCTGTAGTGATCTGAGGTACAGGTGCACCCTAGGTCTTCTAAAGATATCTAAGGGCTCCAGGACTCCTCCCATGGTTCCTGAGCGTAGCCTTTTCCTGAGACTGTTGGGAGAATAGGGCAATTGCTCCAGAGGCCTTGAGATCAAGCTTTGAGGGCACAGAGATAAATATGTTAGGTGCTACCCTGGTTGCATTTGTTTTCAGAGGACAGGAATTACCAGGAGAGCTGCAAAGTTATAATGACCCAGGTAGCATATCCATTCTCATTGTACCTTCTCTTGTCTTTCCTCCTCCTTTGTTACATTGGTAGGCAAAGAATCCTTGTTATGACAATCAATTCAATAGCTCTCTAAGGAATAAGAGCAGGTGGTTTCACACTCTTACACAGTAAACTGTGTAAATGAGAAAAGAGTCATTAAGTGCAATCACTGGTGAGAGCTCCACTAACTCACTGAGGTGTGTGCAGAGTGCATAGAGATGGAGTGCTTATCATATTTAGACAGATAGAATTTGCAGCAAAAAACATTATGCAAACCTATTTTTATTCCTCATAGCTAATGGAAGCAGGTGGATATCCAAAGTCCGAGCCTGAAGTGCTTTTTTGCTTTGGAGGCTTTAGGGTACAACACTTTCTCCTTAATGCATGGATGAGAAGTTAGGGCTGCTCACAACCTGGACTGCCCTCTGCATACTTAACTCTGCTGAAAGCAAAACTTAGGTTATACTTAGGCTTTTCTAAGCCTTGTCTGCTGTTACCTGCCGTTTTCATTTCAGAGAAAGCATGTTATGCTTTCAAAGGATGTAAATAATGTGATTTTGAATTTGTTCAGATACTTATACAATTTATATTACGGCTCAAATAGCTTTTTCTTTAAACAGCAGTTATCATTGTTGGTTTAAATTGCTTTGATGTTCTGAAAAACAACTACAACAACAACTTGCCTTCTTTTTGAATGCTTTCTTTCCACCATAGAATTCAAACCCCAGGACTATAAAATACCCAAGAATGTTTCCCAGAATGTTTCCTCCAGGTAAGGATCAACTAGTGAGAAATATTCCCTTTCCTGCCTCAATCCAAAAATTGGCCATAGGATGGATGGTCACAGGATCTCCTTGTTAGGAGGGACATTTGTTTCTGTTAGGCAGTAAATCTCACCTGGGCTCTCTTTTTGATTCAAAAGCAAACACCTGAAGGATAAATCGCTTGTTCCCCTAAGAGAATTCTCATGAGAATTTCAAGCCTGCTGTTGGCCACCCTCCACTCTGCAGAGGGGAATCCAAACTGACAGGGCCAAGAAAGAAGTGGTCTTGTGCTATGGCAGAACTGCAGGGATATAAAAACTACTAAATCTAAAGAGGAAACTGGCAGGTTCAGACATAT